CACAAGGCAAATATTAAATATATCGTATCTTGTACGCTTTATGATGTTTCTAAGTAACAATGAACTAAGCAGTTTAGATATACGTTATTTATTGTTTTAATAATGATTTAAATTCTCTTGCAAACAGATCAAAAGTATGTATATTAAGGTATACAATATTGACATTTTACAATTCAAAATGAATAAAAAGTTGATGTTACAATTATCGTAATCACAATCCTTCCTCTTTCCCTTGAAGAATAGGGACGTAAGATACCAAAGGAACAGTCAAACTCATAGATTTTGGTCTTACATGAGTAACACGACGGGTGCCACATGTAGAGCAGGATCTAATTGCTCACCATTGCGGAGCACTTGAGATTACCCCCGATTTTGATGGGGTTCATATTGCTCAGTTAGCAGTCCTTAGTTTTCTAAGTTATGTGTTGTTAAATGTTGTTTGCTTTTGGTCTTTGTCTTTTTTTGCCATGTGGTTGTCAGTTTGTCGACTTAGGAGTTTGAAGATATCGTAGGTATCTTCCACCTCTTTTTTGAAGATATTTATATGATGGACTACATAATATAATATATTTACCAGACTTAAAATTAAACGACGCCGTATACTTTAATCCATTCCCTTGTCGAGTAGAGGCGTATATTGTGTAATAGTAATCTAAATTCGCAGGAAGTCTCTCAACTGTGACATTAAATGTTGTCTGTTCTCTTTGGAATGTTATGTTATATCCATTGTTATCTCCCATGAAGTTAACCGTTGTAGTTGCATTTACATTCAAAGTCTAAAATACAATTGTTATAAAGTTTAAATCAAAATACTAATGAGTTGTTAGTTTAAAATGATAGCTAGCTTTCTGTTTGCATATGTTCTTAACCTCAATCTGTTGAGATGCTCTAAACATAAATCTGTTGAGATGCTTTCTTGTCCTTTTTGAATATACGGTTTTAAATTGTCTACATTTTGTCTTTTCTTAATTTTTCTTTCTTTTTCTCTTTAACTAGTCACATGCCATGACCTTATTTCTTACTGCGGAACACGGATGTACATTTTAAAGAAAAAAAACCCATCGAACACATCTCGTGGATTTGTATGCTTTCGTAACAGTTTTTGAGTGCTGGATTTTAGTTTCGTACTTTATCCCCCAATAATTCCTCTTTCGCTTTTGATTCTAACTTTATATTTTTTTTTTCAAGATGTATTGGTCATTTGTTCACTTTTAATTTTTTTCTGTATATTACACAACAAGATAGCTTTATGTTGGCATATTCACATAACACGTTGAAATGTACAATGAGTTTATTTATTTATTGATCTATTTCTTTAATTAAGTTTAACAAAGTAATTGGTTGATAAAAGGAGAAAACAATAAAACTTACTTTCTGCTTTTCTTGATGATCGCATTCAGTTGAACCACGGCAATCGGTACAAAAAAATCTAATAATGTTAATGCCCCTTGAAGACCAAAGTTGCATTGTGTACTCGACGATGATACCGTTATGTTGGTTTGGTGCTGACCACAATATAGTGACCGTCATCGCATTTATTTTTACTGATGGTCGAATTACTAAACCTGGAACTGATAACACTCTACATTTAAATCTCCTTACGTTTGCATGATTAATTTTATTATTATCCCTTACATATATAATAAACAATTCAATTGGGTAATACATTATCACGTGACATGGAATATTTCAAAAATATACACCCAGCAGCCAATATCCCTTTATTTACCGGTGAATAACTTTTTTAGCTTCCTAATTTCTACACACGAGGTATCTCCCATCAAAGTGACGCGATGACGTATGCAATTAGAATGTCAATAGCTATGTTAGAAGCCCACCAAGTGACGAGGAAACAAGATCTCTAACAAGACTTTGAAATTCATTTCGTGCCGAGTAAATATCTCGTAAATGGTCTTTTTCGCGGCCATCATTTTTTTACAGAAAGAGTCTGCCTTTGTTGTACATTAGATAAATTCTTAGATACAAAATAATTTTCTAACGTAAGGGTTTTCACAATCTGTTACTACGTCTAACGTAAGGCAAGTGCTTTTTCAATTGTTCAAAATGCCATTCCATTGTGAGTTCGGTATAATAAAACAATTGCGGCCATTGAAAAGCGATTAATATCCAAAACTGTTAACCATAAAAACTTATTTGACTTGGGGCTGCGACACTTCATTCACCTTTTCTATGAGGCCATAATTGTACAGTATAAAATCTGCATCATTTACAAAAATGGCAGTCAATATAAGGAATTTTTTTTTTCAAAACCTTGTATTCATACTATTTACAGAGAACAAATGCTTAGATAAAAGCATATGGATATTTATTTGAGAAATTGTTCTCGAAAATCTTTTTAGAATACAGTACAATTGCAGTTTGCTGCAATGTCAAAAACAAGTCTTTTTTTTAGAAGAGATTAATTAAACCATTTTATCTGGTGGCTTGTTTTTACTCATCTGTATCCCCTCGATTGACTCTATCCTTATTTTTCATATGAAGCATTGAATTTATATAAATATAGTGCCTAGAAGATCAACTTAACAATGTTAGAGCAGATCTGATTGTTTACCAAGTTTCCAATCGGTTCTGGAACCAGTACGCTTTCCTCGCACATCTACGGCAACATCGCCTAGGCAACCGCATTATCTTCTCCTCTTACTCCAGCTGATAAAATACATTTTCATTTCGGGATGTGTAACCTTCTTTAAGGTATCGAACAATGACAATCAATCCAAATACACCAATAACTCTAGTAGCTATATAGCTTCATTTGTATCTATCTATATGTTTAGGTATGGAAGTTATTTATATGGTAATTTGATATATTATGTTGACACAAAATAATAAAATTGAGAATGGAAATGGGGAATGTGTCAAAGAGACAACAACCCGACCATAGAACAGACAACAACAGAAGGTCACCAACAGGTCTTCAATGCAGCGAGAAATTCCCGCACCCGGTGGCGTCCTTCAGCTGGCCCCTTAACAAATATATATACTAGTTCAGTGATAATGAACGCCATACTAAACTCCAAATTGTACACAAGAAACTAAAATTAAAAATAATTCAAGACTAACAAAGGCTAGAGGCATTCTATGCAAAACTCTAACAGGAAACACAATGAAATATTTCGAATAAAATAAAAAGAAAAACTAGTTATACCATTCGTTATGTAAGAGTGATGCCCCAATCTTAAAATAATTACTGTTACCCTTAAAGACTGTATATTATATGAAAACCAAACCATACAAGCAAGCCAAAAAGAAAAACATAAAAAAACATAATAATAACATACTGATATATCACAACCTTTTCTTTCACCAGTTAAATACTGTAGCCAATTAAGGGCATCCGATACAGTTTCTCGATATAATGTCATTTTTATAATTTTATAATATGTTGTAGGCCTTGGCGAGTTATAAAATAAAACACAAAATAAAACATAGGTCACCGTGCTTGTTTTCGAGAAAACTGAGGCTGAAAATTGGGGATTTGTGCAATTTTGTAAAAAAGTTAGGCAATGTTATAAAATTTTTGGAGTAGATATTCTTCGTCGTTTATTAATAAGATCGGGTTCAATCTGAAGCTGTGATAAGTGACAATAAGGAAAAAAATAAATCCCTACAAGAATGACCATACAGTTATTCAAGCCTTGCTTGACATTGCGGACCAGATGCCTAAAGTGGATTTTTTTTTTACCTAAAAATATGGAAATAGAGTGGTTCTGAAAATGTCATTTTTCTACATTGACTGCATTTTTTCATGCTTTCTCCAAATCTCAAATAAAAAATATTTGTCACCGTGTTGGATTCGAAGATAAACGCGATTTATCTTAAAAATTGCGTCCCCCCTTAGTAACCTCAACGTTAGCGCTAAAATGCACGACGTCGCTGGCAGACAATACCGACGTCTCACGCCAATCGTCTCTGCAAGTAATCGGCGACATTGTTGGGATGTATAAATATTGCTTATAAAGAGCTACCTATAAATTGGTAATATTCGGGTCATCGATTACAGTTGAATAAAATTTGGAGGCTCCTAACCAGTTTTAAAGTTCACTTGTATATACTTATTTCCACTGGATCACAACACAAAGGTTACTTACATGAGGTCTTTTCCTGCAAACGGAACTTGTCAGAAAACAAAAAAAAATCTTATAAAGCAGAATCTTCAATTTGCTAAAGGAGGGTTTTACCAGACAGAGAAACTATACCATAAATTTTTCATAATTTTTCATAACTTTTATATCGTATGGACACGTTCGAAAATCAGTGCCTATCAATTTTTTTTTAAAAGAGCTATGCCATTTGGAAATATTAATTATATTGGAAATTGCATTGGATTTGCTGTCAATCCGTCATTTTTCTAACATATTTGTAAATGCAGTGGCCATTTTGACGGCTCCGGCAAAATATCCTCTTGGGTGCTATTTTACTGGCTTCGGCAAAATAGCCTACTTGGCGCTATATATAGAGTTTTGCTATTTTGCCGGTCTTATTTCAGATTTTTAATCAAGACTATATGAAATATATTTTTTAAGGAAACTATTTATGCACAAATAATATATGTGGCTAGATGTCGATAACCTTTTTGTTCGCCTTGCCTTCCTAGTCATTCAATTTTGGTGAACTGCACTCATTTAATCACATGTACATATTACGTTAATTTCTGTTGAACACTGAACGTTCAAAAATGGAAAACAACAAATTTTTTATCAAACAAACTTGATTTTCGACTGATATGAAGAGCTACAGCCGGTTTTGGATTACTTTAAAACGTGAAACGAGGACTATAAATTTCACGAAAACCGGACAAAACTTTAATAATAATCTATGGTGCAATAAAATATTATAAGATTAATAAAAAAAATATTGTACACACGATGCATAGAAATCTAGCTATTGACAACATTTATTCTATGAACGTTGAATACTGAAATGCATATATCTGCAAATTTTGCAAAATGATGCAGACGCAAAAGAAACAAGTGTTATGTTCAGTTCATGTCTGCAGTGGTAGCACCTTTCTGGTGCCAGACTTAAAAGAAATTCACCATAAAGTAAGGCACTGGTTTTGTAACGCTCGTAAATCAGTTTGAGGTTGTTGGGTGTTACTTTTTGTTTCAAAACTAATAGGATATTTTTATTAAAAGTTTTAATCAGAATGTCGATTTTGTATATGGGTTCGTATGCTTTGCTTATGTGTATTATATATTTTTTTTAAAGAAATATTTTTTAGACTTCCTATTAAAGAAAAAAAGAACTAGTATCACTTATTAAAAGTAAAGAATATCAATTTTAATATGCATGTTTTGTATAAATGTTTAAAGAATACATAGTTCAGTTGTATAGAGATTTCTTATTGAAGTGTATGTTTCTTTATTTTTTCTATTCTTAATTTCTATACTTCTATTTTAATCTTGATTAAGACCGGTAAAATAGCAAAACTCTATATATAAATCGCTATTTTGCCGGAGCCGGCAAAATGGCCACTGCCATTTGTAAAAAGGTTTAAAGAACAAAAAAAATTGTTGGTTATTGCCTTTTATTGGATAAAATACGTGCAACGCGGAGGAAATTGGAACTTTGTTCTTTAATTAAAGTTGTATCATTGTTAACATTAGCGGTATACAATTATTGATTTAACATTAATAAATGGAAAAAAATTGTTCAGTTAGGAAATTTACTTCTTCATGTACCTAAATTTTAGGTATTAGTTTTTAAAAATCATTGGTTTTCTGTGCTGTAATAAGATATCAGAAAATTGGATCCAAATCTAAATTTGATCATGCATGATTAATGATAATAATAATGATAATTGACATGCATTATATTAGTAACACTAAAAGGGTCAGTCGTCTTGAGATTGCTCACTATACGATATTTTTTTGAAGATCGCACAGAATCTTCAAAATGAGGAGCAACATAAACAGTAATGTGTTTGATTTCTTATAATTTTATTGGACTGTTATCGTGTTAGAATCAAATGCACAAATATTAATGGTGTAGAAGTTAGCATGCGTGAGAAACAGAAATTGGAGCATCGATTATACAACATATCGTTCTTATTACGGAAGATTACACGCATAACGTCCCGCAGAAAGTGACGTTTTGCGGGAATTCGAACGCTTAACGTCGCGCCAAGAGTTAACTCCCTTGAAACTGTATCGGATGCCCTTAAATTATCATTATACGTTTTTATGCATTGCATACCTACCAGTCTCTCGCCTTTTAACTGTATACGTTTGAACTTTACCGCTGATATTATTAGAAACAGCTGCTACATTTAAAGAACAACATGCTCCAGGTTCGGTTATTAATATTATATCATTCCTTGAGTCAATCGCTTTCTCTACTTCATACGATACATTCATGAAAGTTGGAGATGTACATATTGACGTTGAAAGAACGTGATAATAATCAATGTTTCCAGCAATCATTTTCAATCTTATTCTCATCGAGTATGTATTCTGTGTCACTCTTATTTGTCCGGGTTTTTCAGGATCTATGGTAAAACATTATTAATTTCAAACGATTGCAACTGATTGTACTAAGAAAAAATACACAGTACATCAATTATTATCATTCATAGTACATATTTTGCGTTTTATATTTTAAGTACATTTTGGTGAATTTTAACTTAAACTAGCTTTGTTTGATAGCATTTTCCAATTCAGACAACGAAATGCTATACTAACATTTGAAAGTTGAATTAACACCTTTTTAGTTAAACGTTTTATAATTTTCAAATACTACTAATAACATTTAATAATATTATCAAATAATTCAAATTTGAAAACAAACACGTACTTTAAAATCTGTGTCTATGTTAACCCTAACACCTAAATGTGTTGAATAGTGTAACATAGAATAGACTGGTTGTACTACAAGGTACATTTTGTTCATTTGCTATCAATGAAATTTGAATGCGAAATGAAATGTATATCATTTGGAAAAAAAAACATAGTTGATCAATCGTCAGTTTTTACTTAGGTTAAAATAAATGAAGTTTGGTAAAACCAATGTTTGTTTTCTCTTTACAATATCTAGCTTAAATCATTACTTTATGTTTTTGCATTTTGACTTATATAACAATAAAGTTGGTCGTTATATTTCACTTTTGAATTTCTGAATTAACCTCCATGCAAAAATATGTCCAACCGTTAATTTTTCAAAACCCTTTTTATAAAGAAAAAGAGTCATGTAATTATATTTATTATTATCGATATCAAATGCCTATCACGACAAAGGTAGCCCGTTTAGTATAATCCACAAGTCATAACATATGTCAGTAAAGGATGTCCGACGTGTAATCAAAAGTAGTCAATTGGTTCATCAATGGTTTCCTACACTTTACAAAGAATTAACCAATCATTATATCAACGCACAGATTGAGGTAATGTTTTCTTATCTTGATCGACATTTAAAGCAATACAGCATTTCTCGTCCTTTTTGTTAATAGATTTTATTAAATTACATACCACTACCTAGTTCAGAAGAATATATATATATACGAGAAGCTAGTTATATAAATATCATATTTTTACTTACAGGTTGATACTTTCAGTACTGCCACTTTTGAAATATTACCAATGAAATCAACAGAAATCTTTAATCTGTACTGTGTTCCAGGTGCAAGATGCGATATTGATTCGTTATGAAACTCGTTACTCATTGTTTGTGTCTGTAGGATTCCGTTCACAAAAATAGAATATGACAATATCATTCCATGTATGCCATTAATTCCTAGTGTAATTTGATTAGTTGACCTTCGAAGCAACACAACATCGAGGCTTGAATAGTCTGTATATAATAGAACAGTTTTCTATTATAACAGTTTAACAGTTTAATAGCTCTTATCAGATTTTGAGAGAAGAACATTATTCAGACATGCTTAGTCGTTCGCCACATTTTCAAGCATTTTATAGAAGATCCTGTTTAACACTTTTATACGGCAAATGATATCAATTTTTGGTTGACATATAGTATAAAACATATCTTTTTCTGAAGACCTTTATTGGTCCAAAAACTTATTTTCTCTGTCGTTAGATTGCGTTAGTATTGAGTCATACAACATTTTTTTCTTTTCATTCAAGCATACTGATTTACCCCAACATTGACTTATTAGAAAATAACTGACTGCAAGCATAATGTCCTAACGTTTAGAAAATTTACTGACAAGAAAACAAATCTATCTTTTCATCGTTGAAACGACAAAATAATGTATGCTTAACGTAGCTATGTAAAACGTTTTTGCGGAAATACCATAAATCATATTTAAGCAAGGTTATCTCCTGATGACAAGGAGAAATTCCAACAATATAATAATTATTGTAGAACATAACAAATGGACTGCACGTATCTCAGGTAACTCATAATAAGATTTATGTCGCAGTCTGGTGAGATGTTTTCGAATTTTCAAAATGATGCTGTTTCAAACTCAATTTACGCTCTGTTTATTGCTTACTGCTGTTTGAATTCAATATTGGAATATTGGGTATTGTTGAATAGCAGACAATGCTTAATGTGTTCATTATATAAAAACAAAATAACACACGTGACAAAGAAAAAATAAATCACAAAGCTAGCATAAGCAAACTATGTCTATGCATAAAATTATGAAAAAAGACTCATCATAGACAATGATAGATATCAAGATTAAAAGTTAATAATGTATTACATACGCGCGTTTCGTCTATAAAAGATTCATCAGTGACGCTCGAATAAAAAAGTAAAAAACGCCAAATAAATCAAGAAGTTGAAGAACATTGAGGACCAAAAATTCGGAAAGATGTTGCCAAATACAGCTAAAGTAATATATTCCTGGGATAGAAATTCCAATGTTTCGAAAATTTTCAAATTTGTAAACAATCAATCTATTGTTATGACCATATCAAAGCGATGTCAAGTACTTCTGATAAAAGCTTCTGAAGTTATTTAAGAGAATGCAAGGAAAATATTCCTTTCTTGGCCGACATGTCGTCGATTAAACGAACTTCAATTAAATGAAATATCTTTCTCCTACATTTTACAAACAAATTATCTCCTACGAAAAAAAGATATATCAGTGTAAAGCAATTGTTTTAAAGGAGTATACTTCAATATAACAACAATACAATGATTATACACAAAAAAACATTGAGCTCAAGTTACACTTCACAACAATAAACAAGCGAATAAAGCTTTTAGTCGCACAGAGTGTAGAGAAGTTGTGATGAATATTGTGATAGAAATATGTCATCAACATCAAATGTCAAATCAGAAACAAGCCAGAAAATTACCAGGGAAATAAAAAAACAAAAGTATGTTAAATAATCTGAAAATGATAAATTATCAACCTTACTGAAGTCAAAACAACAATAAAAATAGAACAAATTACCCTCTTATAACTCAGAAGGTTATACTCCCGTTTTTGTATGAATATGATTAGCTTACGTTTTCCAATGTTAAACACACACACAAGCAACGTTCAAATGCAGAACTAGAATAAAAGGAGCATTACATTTTAAACGCAGAAGATTGTTTAAGGGGTACTGATTTAGAACTCGTCAATAATGCAAAATGGCATGCGTAAAGATATTGTCCATGTGCTGATGTGAGAACATACAAAAATAGATAAGGGAAGAAATACATAACTTAACATAAAATCACATAGAACCTATGGAAAGAAATTAGACCTAATCACTTGATTTATTCGTGTTGCTCAGTCTTTAGTTATCTATGTAGTGTTTTATATACTGTTGTTTATCTTTTGGTCGTTTTTTCTATTTTGCTATGGTGATGTCAGTTTGTCTTCGACTTATGAATTTCTGTATCGCTTTAGTATCTTCCGCCTCTCTTGTGCATTGAAGTTTAGATATCAAATTTGCCATTGATATATTCATTGCATAGAATTTGGGAAGTGGCAAGTTTAGAATAATATTTTAAGTAACAAAATACTTATTTCTCTGTAAACAATCTTTAACATTTAATTTTAGACATATTTTACTGAACAAAATTACTTTTACTATCGACTTCAAGAATTGTTTTTGCTGGCGTCTTTGTTAGATTTAATTATATAGATATAAGAAGATGTGGTATGAGTGCCAATGAGACAACTCTCCATCCTAGTCAAAATTTATAAAAGTAAACCAATATAGGTCAAAGTAAGGTCTTCAACACGGAGCTTTGGCTCACACCGAACAGCAAGCTATAAAGGGCCCCAAAAATTGCTAGTGTAAAACCATTCAAACGGGAAAACTAACGGTCTAATCTATATACAAAATGAGAAACGAGAAACACTTATGAACCACATCAACAAACGACAACTACTGAAAATCAGATTCCTGACTTAGGACAGGTGCAAACATATGTCTGTTTAGATTATTTAATTATGTTGTATATCTATGATTTACGTTTACACAATATTTTAACTTGTGGATCCCTATTTTTGTCCGGTTAACCAATTAAGTCAGGTTTGGATCGCTCCCACAATTTTGTTAAAATAACGGAATCAAATTCAGCTGTCATAAAAGTTGGAGGTTTTAGCTTGCTCAAACAATGTTTAACCCACCATTATCTTCTGAAAATGTATTCACCAAGTCAGGAATCTGACAGCTCAGGCTCAAACGTTCCATTAGTTGGTGTAGTCGAGCGATTGATTTTGTCAGTTTTCATGGAATTCCTTTTTTGAATTTACCTTAAAATTCCTTTTTCTTTTGTAAAAACAATTTTCAAACTTCATTTAAAAGCTTAAATTATCTTACTATACCAGGTCAGAACTATGATAGGTATTACCAACTTATTAAGGAGGTGATCAGTTATAAATATTGTTGTCATAAGTATCTATTCTATTCAGAATAATTTAATGACTAACACTTTTATAAGAATACCTGTTTTATAATTAGCTTATAACAAAAGTGTAAGAAAACGTCATACCTGTTGAAATAGTTACAAATGATGATGGAGAGCTTTTGACATTGTTAGAAACAGCAATCACATATAAAGTGTATTCTTCTGCAGTTAACAGATTAACAACTGTATATCCCTGGACAGCATTGGTGTATGGAATGATAAACTGTTTTTGATGATACTTGAGATGTAAAACGTAATATTCTACATGGCCAGTAGGATTTACGATATCAAGACTGATGGTAACTGATGTACGATTCACAATTATCAAAGTTGGTGAACTTGGTACTGTGGAAGTTGATATAAAATAAATTTATTAGACAATAATATTGAAAAAAATTAACTTAACTGTTAGTTTTAATAAATTAATATAAAAAATTGTTCTAGTTATAATTGTTTATGTGTATAAAACAATTATAACAAAAATACTGAACTCCAATGCAAATTCTAAAAGGGGAAGTCCATAAAAACTGACAAAACTCAAAATATATCAAGGAATAAATGGAAAACAACTGCCAAATTCCTGACTTGTTACAAACATTTTCCGAAGAAGGTGAGTTAAACCTGGTTGCATAGCTAGCTAAATCCCCGACTTGTATGACAGTTGTTTATAGATCCATTATATTGACAAAATTACCCAAACAGACAAAATAGGTTAGTGTGAAAATAATTGGGATACAGCATCCAACACTGTGTAAAAATACATCACAGACATACGCCACAACTGACTAAAAATTCAAACACACATTAATCTAACAAAGATGCCAACAAAAACGGTGTTGTACAACACAACTGACTAGTAAATTTTAAATTTGACAATGACGTCAACAAAAAAGGTTTTGAGAGTACATATCGCATCTGTGGTACACACTATACATTTTAACAAAGTAAAACTTGGTTACCCTTTTTATAAGCCCAATTTAGAAGTAACACAACTACGTTCTGTAAAATTTTCTGTCGAGGAAATATAGTAGAAGATCGGATAATTGGCAAAATTTTTAGAGGCACTTTAGAAGTTGTATTCTGTAAAGCACGAATGTTGGATGACGTTTCTCCAATAATTTAAGATAATACTTTAGAAGGTTCAGTGATGTTTTCTGTTAACGTATCCATTGCATTGCAAAATGAGTTTTTAGCTAGAACGGTTACGCCAGTAGATTGGATTTAATGCTTTGTTTAGATTTCAGACAAGTGAATTTCATGCTCAAGTATGTCATGATACAAGTGTTTTCTTTATCACTACTGCAATGCTTTTGTTAGCTATTCCAAGTTTCAGCAACATATTGAAACACCGTCTTTAGATTTTTATTCATTGAACACGTCGATGTTCTCATTCATTGTCGACAAAAATCAAGCAAATATCAAATTGAACTTTTGAAGTCCGAATGGTATAAAAGAATATAAATATATTAAAGTATTCAGCTTTCGTTTATCAGCTACGTCAAAAGACGGATAATGATCGACATAATTTGTAAATAAGTTTATGATTTTCAAACATATTGGTCTATAGCATCACTGAAATGACATTTATTGTTGAAATGCAGTAGCATTGGTACCGTTAATGTTCTTCAAACATTTATATAGAAATGGCCCACCGCTTCGAATAGTTTTACTGTGTCAAAATGAATCCTTGGTCCATTTTTCTTTCTTTTAAATACGCCCGGAAAATAGTAGCAGCTGATATATTCTACATTTATCGTTATCAGCTCTCATTTTAAAATGTTTTTGCCGGATTTCCTCATCCATTGTCATGACAAATCTTGTGGTTATCAAGCTCAATCGTTAGAAAGCATAAGAAATCCCCAAACTATGCGCTCCATGATGAATCAATAAATTATCAGGTTACGCAGTCGGTCTGTGAAGTATGTAATTTAAGAGTTAAGGTCACAATACGCTGTCAGTATTGTCTCATTGTTTATCATCACTTATACTTTTTTATTCAGAATACAAAACTACTAAAGAAAAAATGCTGAATAATAATTAAAAACAATGCTCGTCCTTTCAAAACTTTTAAGAGACGTAGACGACGGGAGAACTCCTAAAAAGTATGTGAGTTTTATATGCGGAATTTACTGCTAATTGTCGTCTAACATCAAAATTAACGTATCAACTCAATTATGAAAAACAAAACCACTCATAAGCATTTTTCACTTTCTAATGATATTCGCTAGTACTACCCAAAACAAAACAAAAAGGGGAACGACAATTAACAAAAAAGTATCATTAAAAATACCAAACCGCAAGCTTAATTAAAAAAGGGGAGAGTCCACAAAATCAAGGCAAAAAAAAAAAAACGGTCGACTAGATACAAAAACGGAACGAATGGAAACAAAATGTACTATTCTTGACTTTATACAGGCATTTCTGAAAATATGGTGAGTTAAACCTTGTTTTTTAGCTCGCTAAACCACCCACGTGTATGACAGCTGTTTATAATTATGGTATATTGACAACTTATTGCTCCGAAGACGAGCAGGCGACAATACATATTTTACATGGCATGCGTTTCGTAGTAGGAATAGTATGTATATATTCGCGATGAACACCTTATTAATCGACTTTAAGTAACTAGTTTGCTTGAAATATATCGTAATAATGCGCTTGGCAGATGATCTGCAGTTTTCTTGGTATGCCGTTTTTTAATTACAAACGGTACAATAAGTTGTGAGAAAGCATACTGGATATTGAAAAAGGTCATTTCTCCCATATACCGTAATAAGGATTTATTTAATTTAGATAATATTTTCATAATCAAGTGGTATTCATGATTTTGTTAATGCTAGTAAGACACTGTTAAGTAATACAGTAATACAGTTTTATTTATTGAGATGATAATTTCATTTGCAATTTATAATAGTTCAAAATAGTATATTTTGGCTTAGTTGATATTTAAAAAGTTCGAATTGATGTTGTCAATACGTATGACAATACATATCATTTGTTTAAAATTTAGTGATATACATGTTAAGCCATTTGGCTTAAAACAAAACAAGTCAATCAGATGATCAATTAAATGTGTGTCTAAGACTTCGGATACTATGACTAATGCGTTATAACATACTGGAACCTAACCAATAGTCAATAGTCTTTTCAGAGATATAATATCTTTAACAATAATGTGAAATCCTTTACAAAATCATTCACTTCATTACCTACATCCAAGATAAAGAAACACTGCAAAATTATGTATCTTGATCGATTCAATTTGTTTTATTAGAAAATTACAGAAAAAAGAAAACTTAAAAATGATACATTTTAAAATAATGTTTTATACATGTAAAAATGTCATATATAATAAATTCTTGGATATAAATATATTTTGAAATATGCGTGAACTTAAACATAACACAGAAAAGCTATATCGGTGTGCAATGCCATGTCTTCTTTCAGTTCTTCCTTTAATTCACTCCGACATTCTCATATAATGCTGCAATTATATATGGTATATGAAATTGTAAGTAATGCTTAAAAATGTACAGATATTTATTTCTACATATATTAATGTACTGATTTCCTTTGTTCGAAGCGTTGTGAAGATGGATTCAAACACTATCAAATAATAGTTTTTTTTATGTACAAATATAGATGAACCCCACATTTGTGTATCACGTTGTTAGCTATTTGTAATATTGTTTAAAAAAACACTTTTTTTAAGATAAGTAATATAATAATTTGGATTAAAAGAACGCTTAACAATGATATACTTCAGATAGAATTTAAGCTTGAACATAATAACTTATATGTCGATATATTCAATTGAGCAATATATGTGTGTTTTAAACTTCCCGGGAACAGGTCATCTCTTACTCCTTATCTTCATGTGGCGATTAGGTGCGCTTGAATCATAACTTTTTTAATGGAATTTGATAACATTTTTTTCTCATCAAAAGTAATGTTTTATTTGTTATTCTGTATTGCCTTTAAGAATTGAGCAGTGTTGTAAAGCTATATTGTACTCTCAATGGTCCTTCAACGATATTCCTATCGAATAAACATATCTGGAATCATTTGGTGTCTTATGAAGTATTTTAATTCCTTTGAAAAATCATCTTATTAAACTTACGTTCAGAATCAGCGGGCGAGTCAGCAGATGATTCTATGAAATCTTTGATACAGTTAAATATAAACACATACTGATCCTGTCAATATTAAATATAGATTATGTTACTTAAGTGTTCATAGTTTTTTTCTAAAAAAAACATGTATTTTAGTTTTTTTATATGATTGTCTAATTAACAACTTGAACATAGTTTGGAGGTTTTGCACGACCTTGTTCATTAAATTATGCTTGCACTAAGTATATTCTGTTTTTTTTACTTGTATTTGTATTATTTTTTTTTGTCAAGGGTCCTCTAATTCTCATTGACGAAGGACAATTGCAACTGACTGATATATCTACAACGCAGATGTTTTGGTTGGAAAGGGAGAGATACTGTGCATAATTTATTTTAACATACTCTATCTAACTAAACACAACGGGATAACACTTGTGTAACTGTTCTTCATTCCGAAGCAATTTTATGCAGTCGTTTGATTTGTAAAAGTATGTCAATTCTTTAAGAAAATGTAAATTTTAGTAGATGCAGGTTATGCAATTATAAAAAGTAAACTTTATCAAACAAATAAACTACACCTCTAAACAGTTTTTTTTTTTAAATTGCTGTTTAACCATGCTTTCAAAATATGTTGATGTCCAATTTATATCTTTCACAATAAATATCATACCTCAGTCTGTACCATATTCACCCGGTTGTTGCGAAGTTTCAAAATTGTTCCAAATATATCAACTTCTTGGCGTCCAGACCGAAGTTCCTGCAGTAATATGTCCATTACAATAAATGTACCAGTTCGTCCAACTCCAGCACTAGTATAAGAATTAGTAGAAATAAAAGCAATGCAAAACAAAACCGAAATGGTGATATAGTTTTAATTTGCATTGATAAATCTAGCAGTGGCCAATTGCTCGCTATTTCATGAAAAAATTGACATATATACAACTTCAGAAATATAAGTTAAATTTATATGCTTAACGTTGATTACATAGTTGGCGTTTTTTTAATTAAAAATGGCATTTCTAGCAAAGCTTCAAAGGGAAATTTTGTTTTTTGTGGGGGAGGGATATTTTGTTCAGATGAAATAACGAAAATAACAATTTTGCATTCGAAAATTTGACTTCATTATGGGAACATTAGTTAACTAAGTTCTTGTCTCATAAATCGATAAAAAGATGCAAAGCAAGGTAACTAACACTGAGGGATTCGTGCGAATTCCCAAATGATCGAGACCGAGTGCGTAGACAGGATAAGTGAATATTTCTTGCATGCATCAATCATGCAAATCTACACTTTGTCAAAATGTCAAAATCGGGAATAGGATAAGATTGGTAAATTTACAGATCGGACGACCATTTTAGTGTTTATACAACTGAGATCGCAAACATTTCGCTAAAGAGTTGAGACACAGAAGCATCGTATCGGTCAACCAATTCATGATGGTGACCGTAAAAATTATGTAGTGTCGATTTCAGTATTTTTTTCTTATAACTATGTTGGAAAAGTTTTGTGTATGTAGTACACTCCTGTTAATGTTGTAGGTATAGTACGAATAAGCACGCGCGTAACATATCGATTAAGTTATTTAAACGCAAAACGATTTGGCAGAAGACCGTTAATTTGGTTATTTTGGTTGTAGTTTTATTTTTGGCATATTTAGCGCCTCCAATGTATGGAAAGCCAACGGGGTCAAAATTCTTACTTCGTAACTTGTCAATTTGTAACTTGTATCTTTGTAATTTCAAACTTCTTACTTCGTAAATTGTCAATTTGTAACTTGTACCTTTGTAATTTGAAAATTCGTAATACGTAAATTTGTCAATTTGTAACTTGTAACTGTGTGATTTCAAAATTCTTTATTGGTAAATTGCAATTTGTATATTGATGTTTTGTAACTTGTCGATTCGTTAAATGTCGATTCGTAAATTGTCAATTTGTATATTGATGCTTTGTAACTTGTCGATTCGTTAAATGTCGATTTGTAATTTGTCAATTTGTATATTGATGTTTTGTAACTTGACGTTTCGTTAAATGTCGATTTGTAAATTTTCATTGTTGTATTATGCGAACGATCATTATGACGACAGATGGCGCTCGGTTTCCTCTTCGGTGTATAAACCTCCTGTAAGTAGGAGCACTTCCATGTAGAGTATATACCTAAGTAATTTTATAAATGAATTATGTACAGCATATACAAATAAAAGAAAATAAATAGATAAATACGTTGTTCGGTTTATATGACATATACCAGGGACTCAGCTTTATATAGAGTTGACCTCGAATAAACATGTATGTCTACCGTACTGGTCACCACACCTGGGAGGAGTGTGTCACTTCCTGTATTTAGGTATATACTGATGTGTCGCTGGAATGGGCTCCCTTATCGAGGCGCTGTTAATTATGTGTATTGGCATATATACTATTTTTTTGGCTCCCTTATCAACTTCGCAAATATTATACTTTCACTTGGCAGGAAATTTCATCTTAATATTTGACCGGGTCAAAATTAGACTAAATATATGAAATATAAGACTGAGCTGGAAAATTCAAACTTATATTGTTCTGGGCCGCAAATTTTGGACTAAATGTATGATGGGAGAAATGGGTTATCACCTATTATTCCTTAATATTATAATCTTCAGATATTGGAAAAGAATGTAATTTATATCTAATGATTTTTTAATACAAGAAGCACTGAAATGGATAAAAAATCTTTATTCATTTGGCTCTCGAGTAATGAAGATAAAAATGTTTTCTATCATGTACTTTGCAAAACAAATTGAATGAAATATTATTTTAAATGAGTCACTTAGTTAATGTATACTATATATTAAAACTGTATTGGTATATGCAATATTTTGTAATAAAATCTAAAGGAACCAGAAAACTTATCGAGAACTTAAATGGACTACCCATATTTCAATCGTAGCCGAGAATGCAAACTCAACCGTGACTAGGATTCCTGATAAGGAATTTGAGATATTGCCGACCAGAATGCAAGAAAACTGCATATATTTCACTGGTCAATAATGGGGTATGAAGCAATAGTATATGGGACCCCTACGAACATCAAAAAGCTTGAAAGAATACGGCGACAAGCTGTGAGTTTTATAACGAGGAGGCTACAAATCCAGAGAAGATGGTTGCGTCTCAAACACGCTCACCAAAGGCAAACAGACAAAACGCTTAAGCCAGAAGCTAGTATTTCTGTACGAAGTGGTTGAGGGGCTGGTTCTTTCTATAGAACCTGACAAATTTAAAAGAAAGCTCGTCCAAAAAGAACAATTGCTGCCAAGGGATTTGACAATTATCAGTCAATAAATATTGTGGAAAAAGAGATCAAGAACTACACAAAGTGTTTTGAGATTTCAGCGATCAAAATCCCACATTCCATCTCATTTTTCGTAAAAACAGTAATCGAGTGGAACCTCCTTGAAGACACTGTAGTGCGCACACCGAGCGTTGACAGCTTTAGATACTAGTACTGCTCGAGTGCACCGTCAATAAATCATCTGCGCTCTCTCTACCATTGTATTAAAGCCAGAATTGGTATCCGAACGTATTCCTACAGATACAGATACAGATCTAGAATGATCATGGTACTGGATCGACATATACTAGGAGCTGTCTCCTCTGGAAATTTTGTCAATGACCATGATCGTAAAACTATGAAACAGTTTTTTTTTTTATTACCATTGTATTCAAGCTAGTATTGGTATCCACAACGTATTCCTACAGATACAGATCTAGAATGATCATGGTATTGGATCGACATATACTAGGAGTTGTCTCCTCTGAATATTTTGTCAATGACCATGATCGTAAAACTATGAAACAGTTTCTTTTTTATTACACACCTATACCCACTTTTTACCAAAGTGACACCCTGCCGCTTTGACTTGTCAGATAGAAGATCTCGCCATTTGCATGACCGAAGCAATTACCTCCAATCTGCTTATCCTAATTTCATTTCCCCCATGAAAATCTTTGAACATGATTTGGGGTTTTGGCTGGGGGTTGCGGGGGAGGGCTGTCAGGGAATATTTTGAAGAGTAAAAAGGTGGCAAACTGTGAGACGGGGTAGCCTGGGATCCTGGCTCACTGTTCGACAGAGAGCCAGGCTGAATACAACAAAATGGTTTCGTCAATTGGATATTAGAATGATTCATAAAATAATTTTTATTTCATATGAAATGCAAATTTCAAAATATCTAGCTTATATAAAACAAATGTTATTAATTAACATCGTTAATCAACTGTTAATTAACGATCCGATCGACAGCAGTTGATAATGAGGGAATCGGGAAAATTTTGTTCTTTTTGTTTTGTAAATTTTTATAGAACGAAAAATTAGGTTGTGGCAATCCTTAGCTTCATGACCAGAAAAAATTTAGTAGGCATGTACAAATGAATATTAATATATTATACATATACATGTATGTCAGCCCTTCCCTCTGAGGACTCAGTCAGAATAAAATGGTCTGATAATAGCATTTTAGGATTAATAGAAACCCTTTTTTACCTGGATTTTTACGTACTGATGTAGCTTTTTATAGCCGACTATATGGATTTTTTTTTTATTGTTGAAGGCCGTACGTTGCCTATAATTGCTTACATCGACTTTTATATTTCAACTTTGGTGGATAGTTGTCTCATTGACAATCATTCTTTTTATTACCACATCTCCTTATATCTATTTACCCGAATAATAATTCAGTCGCTATGTTCCGTTGATATACGATTACACCATTAACCTCGCAAGTAGGAGAGATCGATTAACGTGGAAGGAATGAACTATTTGGGTTGTATTTTTATATAGTTTCCGTTCTCGAACGATACGGCCGCCTGTCGTCTTCAGATAACAAAATGTTCTGTATACATGCCATATTCAAATAAAAATGTTATTATTCTATTTGTGTTCTTTTAGATGCATTTGCTGTACATATATGATTGATTTAAATTACTTAGGTATATATATTTATTCCATATGGAAGTGCTCCTACTTACAGAAGGCTGATTCACCGAAGAAGAAACCGAGCGCCATCTGTCGTCATAATGATCGTTAGCATAATACAACAATGACAATTTACAAATCTAAATTTAACGAATCGACAAGTTACAAAACATCAATATACAAATTGACAATTTACGAATCGACATTTTACGAATTGACAAGTTACAAAACATCACTACAAATTGACAAATCACACAGTTACAAGTTACAAATTGACAAGTTACGAAGTAAGAATTTTGACCCCGTTGGCTTTCCATACCAATGATAGTGCCAACATTAAAATCACACAAACAACGTAAACACTAAATATTTAAACGCCAAATCGCATACCGGTATGACTTACAATATCGTTATATTAATAAATGAGAATAATACACAAATACATGAAGCAAACATGAAAAGTTTTCGAAAACATCGGTTAAGTTGATAAAATTGGAAATTACATAAGATATTTGTAAAAAATAGATATTCTATTAAAAAGTAAATTAACATATGGCTGGATCCCTTAGTGGAGACACACTACCCCCGCAAGTAATATACAAAGAGAAAACCGATCCGTTTCATGCTAAATTAACTCTCCTCAATACTGGAACATAACCCACACTGAAAATCATTTGGCAAACACGGCAATTTTATTTTAACATTTTCTTTCAACTTTGAACCCGAGATACGGAATTGTTTGCAATTACGTCCGTATCCGATTCCTTCATTTTGTTAACTTTGTAGAGTTCCTAGTGTGTGCCTAAAGATTGCAAAAAACAATTGATTTCCCTATAGACGACAATAGTAGCCTTTTTC